AGAGAGAAGAGTGAAGAAAGAGAGAAATACCTCAAGGCTGTGCCAAAGAAGAGTGCTACTCCTATAACATCAAAGTGGCTGCTCATTGATTTCTCAAATCCACATAACAGCTGATATCTCAAGTTCGCGTATATTCCAAGAAATGCGCCATAACCAAGAGCGTTTGTGCTGATTGATGGGACTGTCACAGATACTCTGCCAGAACAAAGATACAATAACTCATAAATACAACCTTGAGCTGAAAAATAAGAGATGTCCCAAAATAGAAACAGAAGATATGTGATGACCTGTTCTTCTTCTTCCCCGCCAGAAAGTTTGACACCGAACCCTGGAAAGCTCCAGTTGCAACTCCAAGAATGGACAACTCTGCGGCCTTGTAGAAAAGAGAATGAATTCTCTTTTGCAAGTCGAACTCTCTAAGAGGATAGCTCATTTCAAATATATTATTTGGTAACTTTTGCAGTGTATTTTGCAGGTCAAACCGAAATGTGTTTCCATACGAACGACATGGGGCTAGTAACCAAACAGCAGCTGCGTTGCATGCTGATACAGTAAGAACGTTTATAAGTGCAAGATCCCATTCCTCTTTTAGCCTACAAATGACAGAGAAAGCAATTTAGGACAAGAAACCAGAAGCTACAAAACCATCAAATAGGAGAAACTGTAGGTAAATGGAAAGGAAAAAACCTATTCTTACGAGTCTTCACCTCCCACCAAACCGAGCATCCAACAGTGGCAGCTTGCTCTAAAAGAAGTTTATAGAGAAATGCAGGATCCGCCAACATCCTACACAAGTCAGTCACATAGTCAAGACTGCATAGGTATGACAATAAAAAACTTCGTGCAGAAAGTAATGCTGATAACAAACATTTAAATGTCTACAAATGAATATTATTTCAGTTGGAAACTTATAACTTACAGACAAACACATGGACAGATATATCTCAGAAGATAACCACAATATTACCTGCCAATAAAGGCCCTCGACAATCCCTGAGGAAGAGCTCGGGAGATCATTCTCGTTGTTGTTGGACGAGCATTTATGGCGAGGAATCTACACATTTGTGCTGAGCTGACCAAACCCTGCATACAAGTTTCCATAAGTTCAGAGATGCCAGCACCCCCAAAACAGCAAGCTTCAAGGATACTCACCATTTCATATGCTTGACGGAGGCCAGCAGGTAGATCCATCATTGTTTTTTGCCATTCGTTCAATACAGCATCAACGAATTTCCTATCAAAAAGCTGGAAAAAACATAAATGTCCTTACTTGGTGACACCATGACAACACAATACATGAAACGAAAGCAACTAAACAAAAGCGGAAATATCTCTTACCTCTGCAAGGAACATCCTACGCCTAAAAAGTC